CATCTCGGAGTTGCGGTAGCGTTCAATGACCGGCGCGAGCTGCACGCCCAAGTCGTGGCAGTGGAAGAATTCCTCGTACAAGGTATCCGTCGTCTTGGGCACATACCTGGTCGTCACGAAAGGCCCGTTACTGGGTTAGGCCACCCAAAGAGTAACGCCCAAAAGTAAGAAAAGCGCGCTTGGGGTAGTACCAGCGCATGCAATCAAGTTCACTCTCAGGGTCGCGCTCGCGCTCCACCACAAGTCCGATGGTGTTCTCAAACCGCTGCGACGACAGACACGGGAACACAGAAAGAGAGCGTTAGTAGGTCTGTACCTTCTGATGCCCGGGGAGAATCACGAGACGCGTACCTGAGGCGAGTGGGGAACACGCGGAGGCAGCAGGAAGAATTCTCCTTCGGCGATGGGGATGTCCTTGTGGACACCGTGCTCCACCACCTTGAGCACCATGCCTCCCTTCACCTGGTAGAACAACTCCTGGCTCCATGCAGCGTGCACACCAACGCGCACCCTTGGTCATGAGCATTTGGCCTTGCAAGGGGTGTGGCCACTCACGTGTACCTCGCCAGCTTCTATGTGGTAGTCCGGGAAAAGCGCTCCTCAATACATCGTGCATAAAACGAAGTTAGTCCACCATGCCCAGAGGCGGACGGGAGCGTTTCATCAAGGCGCCCTTTAGACGAACAAGTCCTGGCGAAAAAGGCTCTTCCCACCTTGCCAAGGCGCCCAAAGGGCGGATTGGGCCGGCTGCCAAAGGAAGCATTGGGCATCTTTTTTTCATCTATCGTTTTGGCAGTGCACCGCGCCTGGCGTCAAGCCCGGCCACGTGTGGCCCTTCGGACAGGGCGTGCTAGTGGACCAGTCCGACCACAATCGCTGCAGTGCCTGCTGGGTGTATTAGCCCGGCCTGTCATGCGCTCGAAGCGCTTCTGGTCCACCAACTTCACCACGGCCTTCCTATGCGAGTTGCCAACGCCGGGGAGGCTTGAGCCCATAATTGGGGCCATGTCACCATCCTGCACCGCGGAGCGCCGGTTCCCTCCACCGCGCGCTACCGCCACTAGTTGTTCGTAGACAGTGTAGAGATTCCTCCGCGCTACGGGACATGCATGGTGACGCAGGTGCGGAACATGGCCTTCATGGTCGACGAGCGAATGGCCTACCACCGCCAGATCGGCTTCGACCACTTCTACATCTACGACAACAACTCCACCGACCACCTGGCCGCCTCTACGGCCCTGACGTCAGGGCCCTGGCGCCGGTCGGAAAACCAGGCTTACTTGCATGTGCTGGCCTTCACCTGGTCGCGGTGCCATTGGACCTTCCACGCTGACATTGACTACTACCTGCTGCCCCTCGTATCGCCCCCCACAGTCCAGGGCATTGTCGCCCATGTGCGCAGAAACTCCAAGTGTGCTTCTTCGGTGGTCGAGATGCGCTTCGAGGGCCTGCGCACGCACCAATCTGACCACCTGCCCCGACACGCCGGTGATCGAGATCTACGTGCACCGGAGGACCGATAAGGACGCCTACGACCTGGGCTTCGGGCTGGTCATGTCATCAGCCGCCGACGCCCTCCACCACGTCCACTTTGCCGAGCTTCAGTTGCCGGCCCGCCACAAGTTGGTGAAGGTGGCGCGGGACGTGGCCTTGGGGTTCCACTTCAGCAAGCAGTGCTGGCCGCAGTTCCATCAGCAGAAGTGCTTCATGAGGGGCAGCGTTCGTGACTGGGACATTCCAGACAACGTCAACAAGACCCATCCAGCGCAGGGGTGGTGGGAGATCAGCAAGAAGGAAGTGGTGACCGACACACAGCTGCGCAACTTCAAGCATACACTCGGCCCCTTCCCCCTTGCTCGCCAAGGACTGTTAAATAGTGGGATGCGCAATCAATAGCTTTGGCCTATATGTGCGTTGAAGGTGATGAGAAGATGAGGTGTATTTCGCAATTACTGCCAAGATTTGGTGGTGTGTGGAAAAAAATGGGGTGATGTGAGTATGGGTGATGTGAGTATGATGCGTCCAGTGCTGCGTCTAGTAGCTGTACTCCTCGACCACGGGTTCACCCTGCTTACAGGTGGTGGTGGCGGGCTGGCCGGTGGTCGTGCTCGTGGTGGCCTGGCCGGTGGTGGTGGAGGCCTTTCCGGTGGTCGTGCTGGTGGTGGCCTGCCCGGTGGTTGTGCTCGTCGTGGCTTGGCCAGTGGTCGTGCTCGTGGTGGAGGCCTGGCCAGTGGTCGTGCTGGTGGTGGCCTGGCCGGTGGTCGTGCTCGTGGTGGCCTGGCCAGTGGTCGTGCTGGTTGTGGCTTGGCCGGTGGTCGTGGTGGCCTTTCCGGTGGTCGTACTGGTGCTGGCCTTTCCGGTGGTCGTGCTGGTGGTGGAGGCCTGGCCAGTGGTGGTGGAGGCCTGGCAGGTGGTCGTGCTCGTGGTGGCCTGGCCCGTGGTGGTGCTGGCCTTTCCCGTGGTGGTGCTGGTGGAGGCCTGGCCAGTGGTCGTGCTCGTGGTGGCCTGGCCGGTGCTCGTGGTGGCCTTTCCGGTGGTCGTGCTCGTGGTGGCCTGGCCGGTGGTCGTGCTGGCCTTTCCGGTGGTCGTGCTCGTGGTGGCTTGGCCAGTGGTCGTGGTGGCCTTTCCGGTGGTCGTGGTGGCCTTTCCGGTGGTCGTGCTGGTGGTGGCCTGGCCAGTGGTCGTGCTGGTTGTGGCTTGGCCGGTGGTCGTGCTCGTGGTGGCCTGGCCGGTGGTCGTGGTGGCCTTTCCGGTGGTCGTGCTCGTGGTGGTGGCTTGGCCAGTGGTGGTGCTGGTGGTGGAGGCCTTTCCGGTGGTCGTGCTGGTGGTGGAGGCCTGGCCGGTGGTCGTGCTGGCCTTTCCGGTGGTCGTGCTGGTGGTGGCCTGGCCGGTGGTCGTGGTGGCCTTTCCGGTGGTCGTGCTGGTGGTGGCCTGGCCGGTGGTCGTGGT